TCACCTCCTGTGTCACCCCCTGTGTCACCTCCCTCCAACCCCCCTGCTCACAGGTCTTGTCCTTCCTCCCCATTCCCTCAGGGCGAGCCTGGCAAACAAGGAGCCCCCGGCTCCGCTGGTGACCGTGGCCCCCCCGGCCCTGTGGGTCCCCCCGGCCTGACGGGTCCTGCTGGAGAGCCCGGCCGCGAGGTGGGTGGGGAGGGGGCGAAGGGGGGCAGCCCCCTGCCCGTGTCATCCCCCCTCCTTCCATCACAGGGCTCTGCTGCTGTGGGGTTTGCACCCCGAGTCGAGCCTTTAATTCCTCCCCTTCTCCCAGGGCAGCCCCGGCTCCGACGGACCCCCGGGAAGAGACGGCGCTGCCGGAGTGAAGGTGGGTTTGCCGGGAGTTCCCCCCCCTCCCAATAACCCACCCCCCAAATGCTGCCAACCCCGAGGGTCTGACCACGCTCCCGTGTCCCTGTGCAGGGTGACCGAGGCGAGACGGGGCCCGTGGGTGCCCCCGGTGCTCCCGGAGCTCCCGGCGCTCCCGGGCCCGTGGGTCCCACCGGAAAACAAGGAGACAGAGGAGAGACGGTGAGTGCTGGGGGGGATGTTGGCTCTGAGGGTTTTTTGGAACCACTCTGAGGGCAGGCCGGGGGGTAATCAGGGTGGGGGAGCTCGGCAGGTGCCCGTTAGTGCCTGGCAGGGATTCAGGGGCAACTCCAAACACAATTCCTGAGGATTCCTGAGCACCAGGGTGAGCCCCAGGAGCTGGAGAAGGGAATATCTCCATTTCCAAGCATCGTTCCTGGGTGATGCTCCATCTCAGGGGGTTTAAAGACGCCGTTTCCCAGCGGTGGGGCCGGTTTGGACGCCCCCAAAGGCAGAGAGCACCCCCTGCCCCCAGCACCCCGTGCTCCCAGCTGCTTCTGACCGCTCCTCTTTTCTCTCCCCAGGGTGCACAAGGTCCCATGGGTCCCTCTGGCCCTGCTGGCGCTCGGGGGATGCCGGTGAGTGATGCTGGGACAGTGTTTGGGGTCGGGTCAGGGTGGGGGATCTGCCACCCTCAGCCTGACACGACCCTGCCATCTCCCCCTCCAGGGTCCCCAAGGGCCTCGTGGTGACAAGGGCGAGACGGGAGAGGCTGGAGAGAGAGGCCTGAAGGGTCACCGTGGCTTCACCGGGCTGCAGGGTCTGCCTGGCCCCCCTGTAAGTGCTGGTGGGGGGACCCCCAGCCCCACACGTGTCCCTGTGGCCACGGGCAGAGCCCCCCAGCCCCGTGGGAAGGCTTTGCTGGGGCTGAGCAGCCCTTGGTGCCAGGCTGGAACCATCACCCTCCCTCCCTTCTCAGGGTCCTTCTGGAGACCAAGGGGCTGCCGGTCCTGCGGGTCCCTCTGGTCCCAGGGTAAGTCCTGGGGGGAGTGAGGGGAGAAGGAGTTTGGGGGGAATGAGAGGAGAAGGAGTTTGGGGGGAATGAGAGGAAAAGGAGTTTGGGGGGTGTGAGAGGAGAAGGAGTTTAAGGGGCATGAGAGGAAAAGGAGGCACCTCTGTCCTTGAGCCCCTGCCCAGGTCAGCAGGTGGCAGGAGCTGAGGGATGCCCAACACCTTCCCTGACCCCCCTCCTTTTTTTGGGGGGTTCTTTTAGGGTCCCCCCGGCCCAGTGGGCCCCTCTGGCAAGGACGGCTCCAACGGCATGCCCGGCCCCATCGGCCCCCCCGGCCCCCGCGGGCGCAGCGGTGAGCCCGGCCCTGCGGTGAGTTGAACCCACCCGGCACGGGCAACGTCCAGGCTTGGGGGTTGTGAAGCCGCCCAGAACAGCCCACCAGGATGGGATTGCATCTCCTTCCTCCCCGTAGGGTCCTCCTGGAAACCCCGGCCCCCCCGGCCCTCCCGGCCCCCCCGGCACCGGCATCGACATGTCGGCGTTCGCGGGGCTGGGCCAGCCCGAGAAGGGCCCCGACCCCAT